CCGACCGCCGACCGCCTGCGGAACCCAGCCCGCTGACTCCAGGGAGCCCTCGTGTCGCAGACGACCGACCCCATCATGAGTAGGAACTGACTTTCTTATCATGACGTGACCTGCTAGATCTTTGCTGCGAACTCTGAGTACTGTATCTCTACCCACAGAACTTTCTAAGACCTATGAACTCTTGTGGTGTTGACTTGTTGTTGCACAATATGTGATGTTTTCTATGTTTGCCCTTGCTCGCACGCCTACGGGAAGCGACCAAGCCGCATTGAGCCTGTGTATTTTTGTGTTACTTGCGAAATATGGTGCTTGCCTAGTAAAAAGTCTACGGGACGACTCTACAAGGAAGATCATTTTTGCATTCCCGGATCACCGGTGTGACGGTCCGGAAGTCCCCGTACTGCCCCACGCTAGGGAGTACGCGAGGAAATGCGAACTTTGCCGCTGACGGCTACAGCGGGACATCCGAAAGTACTCCCTACAGAACTCTCTAACATGGGATACATATGTTAACAATAGTTGTAAATGTGTCTATGAGAATATTGATGAGCCAACATATTTCAGAAGAATCTATTACGAAATAGAACAATGGATTTGTAAACAGATTGGACTATGTAACGTATTTAACATGAGTAGCTTGCAGGTGAGGGCACCTGCTTAAGTAAGAGGGGAGGAATGTAACAATATGTATTGTTAGTTTTATTAAGCATTGTATTATCGCCGGTTCTATCCCCTCCCTTGGGCGGAGCCGCGGTCACCTGTTCGAACACGTGCCAGCGTACGTGCCAGCGTCGTGTTCGAACAGGTGATCTATACCGGTACCGTTCGAGGGAAGGGGCTCTAGAACCGGCCGGTTACAGATTGAATAAACGAGTTGAGATCAAGCCATTGACGAGTTCAGACGTGCGTCCCTTTTCGTCCTGTTACACCCTCTTTGAAATATTTTAAACAAATGCCCCTGCGGTTCCAGAACAGGCTGCTAGGAAGACCTAGTGCACCACTCTCTCCCGGCCCCAAGATGTTAGTCAAAAATCTTGGACTTGGCACTGCCATAAACTTGACCTCAAACTTTGAAGCTCCACTGTAGTACCGTAGGTACCCACTCTCTGTGTGTTTCTTACAGATCCAGTCGGGGCATCACCAAGCAAGGCAGATGGCCGTCTGCCTCCCCTACAGAACCCCCCGCAGCCGCCCGCCATGGAGCTGAAGGAGGTGAGCCTGAGGGACGAGCCTGACGGGAAGGTGGACTCGCCCACCGCACCTAGCTCCCCAGGAGAGGAGGTGGACGGAGCAGTGAAGCAGTCCAAATCTACCAGCTTCCCCAGGAAGGAGAAGTCTGTGCTGCAGACAAAACTCACCAAGCTGGCTGTGCAGATTGGATATGCAGGTAATGTTCAACAGTCTGTGAGATTACCAGCTCAGTCTACTGCAGGAAAGATCACAACTTCAGGACTTGAAGAGGAAATAGTCAAGCCTGTTACAGGGAATGAAATTTAAATGTTGACAGAGATGTCTATCATGTATAACAAATGTATTTAATCCTTTTCAATATTTTATTTAGATTCATGGTTGGTAAGTATTTGCCACAATATTCATCTTAAATGAAAGCAGGGGAAAAAATGCTAATTGTGTGAATGTATGGACAATTAACATAATTAAGTTCTGGACAATCCCCACTGTTTTTCTCAGGGTTTGCTGTGTCTGTCCTGACTGTCATCATCCTGATCATCACCTTCTGTGTGAGGACATTTGCCATCCAGGGGTTACCCTGGAACAACTACTACATCCAGTTCTTTGTCAAGTTCTTCATCATCGGTGTAACTGTACTGGTGGTGGCTGTACCTGAGGGCCTACCTCTTGCTGTGACAATCGCTCTGGCATATTCTGTCAAGGTGAGGTTGATCTCTTTTTTCCACAATTAAACCACATTCAGTTTAATCTTGAAAGTTCATCTGTGTTCATAGAAGTCAATATGAACAAGTTTGAACTACTATGAACTACTATATCCAACATAAGAAATTGGACTCACCCAAATTTGTGACTGTACAACTCCAGTCTTTGTCAAGAAATTAACAATCCACCGCTTCTTTGACGTCACGCAGATAACACACGTGACTCCATGAGCAGTCGATCATAAATTTAATTTCTTTATTTGTAGCCTGATTTTTGCAGGACATAAATGGAGTTTGGCGAAATAAAAAAAAACACTTCTGCATCTTGTGATAAACCTAAATGCTGCAACACTTGTTATACACTTGTTATAAAGTCCAGAAATAAGGTTGAAACTATAAATTATCAACTTTATTTGTGAAATGAAAAAACCTGTAACAAGGTGCCCAACATATGAGCATTTTGATGTTGATACCGTACAGTACAGGCCACAAAATAGTCATGTACATCAAGTTCTGTGAGGCATTCCACAATCTTCTGCGAGACATCCCACAACATTACACAGAATGCTTGGATAGTTCTGTGAGACGCCGAGTGCCTTCAGCGTGTGACTTGTTAGCACTTTCGCAGAACTTTGCGAAAGTTCAACAGAACACATCTGCGTAAAACCAAGTTTAGGCCACACCAATTTAATGTTGGTTCTCAGATTCGCCTCTTCATTTTTTTCTGATTTGCAAAAAAGAAAAAAAAAATTCTGAATCAACTAAAAAAAAGCCCCCTACAGTTGAGGAAAGTCATTTTCTTCCTAGCTGTTACTGTACAGTTTTTCCATTTATCAATGCAGTGCGTTGATTAAAAGTTCAAAATTTATCGTTTAAATATTACAAGTGACATTACAAAATATGATTGTCAACAATAAAAATGTACATGTATATGACTTGTTAACACATCATCATCCCATCTAGAAAATGATGAAAGACAACAATTTGGTACGTCACTTGGATGCCTGTGAAACTATGGGTAATGCAACAGCCATCTGCTCTGACAAGACGGGTACCCTGACCACAAACCGCATGACAGTCATGCAGATCTTTGTAGGAGAGAAACACCACAAGTCTGTGTCTGAAAGCATCAGTCATATCCAACCTAACGTCATGGACTTATTAGTGGATGGAATTGCCATCAACAGTGGCTACACGTCCAGGCTCCTGGTAAGTAGACTCAAAATTTAGATGTTTTTTAACATACATGTACCTAGCAGGGCTCGAAATTCATTTTTGGGAATATGTGCACTGATGCACCCAACCTGAAAAATTGGGTACACAAACAAATTTTGGAGTGCACCATATAAGATGAAATAAGTGAGTAGAATGTCAACAAAAACTAATCATGTTTCGTTTCTGCTCATGCACCCTGAGTATTTCAAGCCCTGCCTAATGTTGTGCTCTTAGGAAAGGAAGCACCAATCTTTGTCATTCATTTCCTGCTGTGTAATGCCACCATTAGTTTTGTTGTTTTTCGACAGTTTTTTTCCTCATAGTTGGGGAACACTTTGTTTGGTTCAGGAAATGTTGAATTCCTTTTGCATACATTAAACTTGCCCACTTGTAGCAGATACATGTACCAGTAACTTTAGTGCCAAGCCAAACAGTTTGTATGCATAGATTATTCAAATATTTATTTATTTATTTAAATATTTCCAGATTTTGGTTCTGTTAGGCCTTCTTGCCAATTCAAGACAGTAACTTAACACATTAAGCTCTTGTTTTCCTTCAATCATAATGTACACTTTGGTAGTACAGTGTACATGTAACTTGTGTTATTGTACTGTATCTCCATAGCCACCAGATGATGATCGAGAGGGTGGACTTGCCAAGCAAGTTGGAAATAAGACAGAATGTGCCCTGCTGGGCTTAGTGGTGGGGCTGAACAAGGACTACCAGGCTGTCCGGGACGAGTGGCCCGAGGAACGTCTCTACAAAGTCTACACATTTAACTCTTCCCGCAAGTCTATGAGCACTGTCGTCCAGAAGGAGGATGGCGGCTTCAGACTGTATTCCAAGGGCGCTTCTGAGATCATGCTCAGGAAGTTAGTACAGTACTAATTATAGATTTTGCAATATGTTTCTGCCTACTTGTTTGTCAGTTCATTGTCAACCATAGCAACTTAATTCTCCTCTTGCTTTGGACCAGAAATTGATCTGGATTTTTAGCAATTATTCCATTGGACCCTGTACTTTAATTTAGCATAATATACTATTCAATATTATTGATCCATTTTTCTACTAATCTGTGATGAAATCTTACAAAATTCTGTTCATGAAAAATGTGATCACCAGCTTCTGACTCAGGTAGAGTACTGATTTTGCCACACAAACTAGCAATACAACTGTACTCAGTTGAAGTCCATCACAAAGAGACATTTCTACTCTGTAAGACTGATGAACAACCTGTCTTCTCAGGTGCACCAAGATTCTGGATGCAAATGGCAAGGAGCAGGACTTTTCCCCTCATGATCGTGATGGTCTCATCAAGAAGGTTATCGAGCCAATGGCCAGCGAGGCTCTGCGGACCATCTGTATGGCGTACCGTGACTTTGATCCAGCTGAAGGAGAGCCTGATTGGGAATCAGAGAATCTTATTGTCTCCAACCTGACAGCAATCGCCATCACTGGCATCGAGGACCCAGTAAGAGATGAGGTCAGTTTCTTACAGTACAGTTTTAAAATATTTTTGGTCGTCTTGATGATGATTTAGAAGAAAAGGAACAGCGGCACTACTCTAATCCCAGCACTGTCCTACTGACTACCGTAGTTTAGGATATTTCTTCCTATATTACCCGGGTAATTTGAGCTATGCACAAAGTTAGAGTTTTGGAGTACAGGGATCATTGGGTGGGGGTCGGGGGGGTCGGTATTAGTATTACAATGAAGACATACTCTCACCTCTCAAGTACTGTAAACATACCGATGTGTTTATTTTTTTCGCCTCAAAATCCACCCGGTACGTTCTCATTTTTGTCGGAAAGTTGGGTTTTTTTTCAGAATCCAGCTGTTTTTTTTTTCGGAATCTGCTAGGGGGCCCAAAATCTAATCATTTCCAGGTCTCATCAAGACCTACCCACCTACTAAATATCAAGTCAATCCATGAAGGCCTTCTCAAGTTATCATGTTTACAGACACACACAGAGACACACACAAACGCCTACAAAAACATAACCTTCTTGGCGAAGGTAACAATGAGGCAGTGGCGGCGGCACGGGGGGGGGGGGCCACGGCCCCCCCGAAAAATAAGTCGGGGGGGAATCTAGCTGAAACCCTTTGTATTTTTCCACTAAAATCTGCAGCAAATACTAGTAAAGAAATACAGCGTGCGGCACTGCGATGGTAGACGACACTGACCCTTGTTTTCTTGCGAAATCCTCGGGCCTACGGCGCTCGCAAAGATAGTGTATATGGGGGAAAATCTCGCCCCCCCAGTCAAAATTTCGGGCCGCCGCCTCTGTGAGGGCAAACCCCCCCACGGTGACTTGGAATGGACTATATGTTAATGATCAGAAAATTGTATTTTGGTGTCATTACCTCCTTAAAGTGTAAGTTTTCTTCCACACAGGTGCCAGCAGCCATTAAGAAGTGCCAGAGGGCAGGGATCACTGTGCGCATGGTGACAGGAGACAATGTCAACACAGCTCGTGCTATAGCCATCAAGTGTGGCATCCTGACTCCAGATGATGAGTTCATTATCCTGGATGGAAAGGAATTCAACAGGAGGATCAGGAATGAGAAGGGAATGGTATGCCACTTCGCATCTCTCTGGAACTCACTTATTTTGCCAGCCACATGTTTGTAGGTATCAGAATTCCAAACCAGGGCGTAACTGGGCTGTTTGTGTGAACAAAAGATAAACTAGAAAGGCCGACATTTGCTTTGGAGCAAATACAGCAATGGCTTCACCACATTTTACGACATGGCAGGGAAAGAATGAGAAACACAAGGGAAAACAATGCTTTACATTGATATAACTATAGTATGAAGTAACATACAACTAAGACTACAACAGTTGGATAGCTATTCCCTACATTATTGGTTAGGATTTTTAATTGCATAATGCAAACTGTTGATTTTCAAGAAAAAAAGAAGTGTTCATGCCCCGCATTCCAATGCTGGAGCAGGAAAGCTTGAAATACCTACCAAAACACTTGAATACAGACATACTGTCAGTATGGAATGGATCTGAGCAGGTATTAATTAAGTTAAGCCTGTTAAATTCCAACAGCCAATCAGCAAGGAGAATAGAGGAAAGCTGCATGCCTATTGGTTGATGCCCTGCATTCCATTGTGATGAGTCATGCCCAAATGTGGTAACACTGCACACTAACTCAGTAATACATTTGCTATAACACAG